CACCCACTTGCGCTCGTTCAGTTGTGCGCGCCCATTTGCACTCACCCACTTGTGCTCATTCAGTTGGACTCGGCCACTTGCACTGACCCATTTGCACTCACTCACTTGCGCTCATTCAGTTGCACTCGCCCACTTGCACTCACCCAGTTGCACTCACTCACTTGCGCTTGTTCAGTTGCGCTCGCCCACTTGCATTCACCCACTTGCACTCACCCACTTGCGCTCAGTCAGTTGTGCTCACCCAATTGCGCTCACTCACTTGCGCTCATTCAGTTGCCCTCGCCCACTTGCATTCACCCACTTGCACCCACTTGCGCTCATTCAGTTGTGCTCGCCCACTTGCACTCACCCACTTGCGCTCATTCAGTTGCACTCGGCCACTTGCACTCACCCATTGGCGCTCACTCACTTGCGCACATTCGCTTGTGCTTACTGACTTGCACTCACCCGCTTGCGCTTGCATTCGCCCACTTGCACTCGCCCATTTGCACTCACTCACTTGCTCTCATTCAGTTGCACTCGCCCATTTGCACTCACCCAGTTGCACTCACTCACTTGCGCTCTCGTACTTGCACTCACCCACTTGCACGCACCCACTTGCACTCAGTTACTGTCGCTCATTCACTTGTGCTTGCCCACTTGCACTCACGGAACTTGCACTCATTCACTTGCACTCATCCACTTGCACTCACCCATTTGCACTCACTCACTTGCGCTCATTCACTTGCGCTCACCCACTTGCACTCACTGACCTGCACACTCATTTGCGCTCATTCAGTTGCACTCGCCCACTTGCACTCACCCATTTGCACTCACTCACTTGCGCTCATTCACTTGCACTAACTCGCTTACTTGCACCCACTCACTTGCGCTACTCACTGACTTGCGCTCATTTGCATTGACCCCCTTGCACTCACCCACTTGCACTCACTCACTTGCGCTCATTCGCTCGCACTCACCTATTTACACTCACTCACTTGCGCTCATTCACTTGCGTTCACCCACTTGCATTCACTCGCTTGCGCTTATTCACTTGCACTCACTCACTTGCCCTCACCCAATTGCACCCACTCAATCCCGCCTCCTGCCCTCATTGATTCTCAGCTACATTTTGTGTGTCATCCGCCCACACCTCTCTCGTGTCATTCTTGTTGCCCTCCTGTCTTCCGCTGCTTTACCTTCAAGCTTCAATCGCGGTGTCGGCCAACATATTTCATTTTGCCCCATCTTCAACGATGCCACGGGTTCCAGTGACGAGGGGCCCGGTCAGACCTTGTCGACATTCTTGCCAGGAAACTGTTGCCAGGGTGGTCCAGGATGTTGCAGGGTGGAATAGATCGTCCGGTCGCTAGCTGGTTTCATTTTTCTTGTTGTAAATCATTTTTGGCAACCTCTGCACGTTTTTCTCCCCCTCTCTCTCTCTCTCAGCCGGGGTCTTTAAGTGAGTAGATTGGCGTGGGAGGTGCGGAGACCAAGAGATTTTGGCAAGATGGGACTATGGTTTGGCGTTCCTTGCTCATCAGGCAGAAGGCCAGTTCATTGCAAGTGCTTTTCGCTCTGTGGAAGATTGAAGAGTTTTCCTTGACAGCTCTCCAGGACGAGAAGTAGCTGTTTGGTCAACGCAGGATGGTGCACATCGAGGACACATTCGATCAGGTTGTGAGTTATTGTGCTGTGACATTTCTCACAATAGTTCATCGGCAATCGTTGCCACACTGGAAACAGATGGCGAGATCCGGCTATTTACAAGCCAAGCCTCGGATGGCACACAAGCCACTTGGGAATGTTCTATCAGCGTTTCAGTGGAATCGCTTGAGGAATCGCCCATTCAACCTATTGTGGAAGTCAAATTGGAGCAGTCAGTGTTGCTGGCTGTGACTCACTCAGAGGATGGAGCTACTGGCGTCATTCATGTGTGGGAGATACTTTCCCAGCTGCACCTTTTGCAAAATCATTACTTTCTTTTCTGTGATCGGCCACCTGACCGGGTAGAAGCACGGCATGGTGGTCAATTCATTGAAGTCTTCTTTCTCACTGATTCATTGAACCCGCGACCCCCTGATGGCATTTACAACATCAAGTGGTTCAGCCCCAAGTTGGAGCTGCTCTTCAATCTGGATCGTTGTGTCGGAGATTGGAGGTGTGATTTGCGAGACGTTGCAGCCCGGCTTGAGGATGACAGGACCATTTCCTGGGCGCCACTGTGGCGTCCCATATGCTTGACAACGGCATGCAGTTGATCACATGGCCTGGAAATCAGCTACATGCTCAGTATGCTTGACGACGAGCGTCACATTTGAGACAAAGTGGGAAGGAGGTCTACATGCTGTCAACGAGTGCATCGCTACTAGTGACAAGAAGCTACTAGTAGTAATGCCCTAGCTATTAGTAACTATATAGCGATTGTATCTGAGCAAGTGCAAGGCCTGAGGGTGGGAGCTAGTGGGATCGGGGAGGTGGTGAGGCGATATCCCCGGATTGGCAGCTCGCCATTTCATCCTCGTCCAGTCTCACAATGCGGAGAGAAGGTTTTTTTGCAACCCAAAGTGGCTGCTCAAAGGAGGACAGCAATCAAAGTGCTCAAAACTTAGAGCAAGAGACCTTACTAGATTGAATGTGGTGGGCTTGGCCGGCTGCAATGTGTGATTGCTTGGAAATTGTAAGTTGCAAGGATGCTGATGCCTTCGCCAAAAGCAAGAAGAGGCAGGTTTCCAAAAACTGATGTCTCTTTGATGCAACTGTCATCTTTCCATGCGCCGCTGCACTAAGGCCTGGATACATGGTTGGGGCCTTGTGGACAGAATCAGCGAACGGAGTTTTCACGAAACTGATATTTACTGAGCCAGCCACCTAAGCATTATGGTGGCCATCACTACTAGGGTGGAGGCCATCGCTATTAGGTTGGAGGCCATTGCTGCGACCAAAGTGTGCAGCGGAACTGGCCAGCCCGCCCGCTCCGCTCGTCCCTCTCTGGTGGTGCAGAATGCCAGATGAGTGTAGCCGGCCAGCGCCAAAGTGTCTGACGCAATCAGTCTGCAAGCCAAAGTCAAAGTATTGGGCGGAATCAGCCAGCCGATGGGCTCAGTCAACCAGAAACCTCGGAAAGGATACACTGCATGATGATGCAAACGTGTTTTGTTCTTCAATGTCCTTACCAAACACATCTTAGGACAACAACTTTGGGACGCTTCCTTTTCCTTTGACAGGCTATGGCGCTGGTAAATGTTGCTTTAGTCCTTGGCGATTTTTAGTATACACTTAGTATATAAGAAGTGTACCAAATTGGATTGTTGGAAGGCCAGCCGGTGGAGTTCGGCGGCTGGCGGACTGAGCCACCATTAAAGTATCCGGCGGCTGGAGAACACAATTAGGCCCCAATACTATTTTCATTGGTTCGTGGCGTCCACAACTCAACAACATTTGCACCTGACTTAGGCAACCATCAATCGCGCTGACGCATGCACACAGCCAGGTACCGGGTAGTATATGCAAGAACGGCGCCCAGAAGAATTGCAAAACTGGATTGGCCCTTTGATTGACTCATATATATATATAGTCCAAAGATATCCAAAGCTTAGCTGGGGACAATATAAATTGCTTCCTTCCCATTTGCACAGAGCATTGTCCTGCTCCATATTTACGGGTGTTTTAATAGATATTCGTTCACAGTATAAACATATTTGCATCCTGTGTTTTACTGAGAAGTAGTCGAACGTTCACGCGCGTAAGAACGCTGCGTCTCAAGGGTGCTTTTCGAGCCTGTTCCAGATGAGTCGAAGGCTAACCAACTATCCCCCATCTACTTGGCAACCGGTAGTGCCAGATAATTAGCAAAACCATGCAGGCTGCTGTGCCGACATATCGCCGGGTGGAACAACAGCATCTGAAGATAACAACTGACACAGGCACCCCACTGGCATCCCACCACTTTGTCGACAATGCGCCGCACAGTGTATTCACCCAACACATCCTGGGCACAATTCCCTGCTGTTGGTTCTCATGCCGCCAAAGGTTGGCATCCGGGCAAGGAGGCATTGAGGTTTTGAATGACACGAGCATCAACAGGTTCTTCACAGAAGGCTCCTCCACAAAAAACTGTTGGGCTATAGGGCCATATCATAAGATGTTTGACGCAACTTCCGCCCTCTTGCTGCGAGATTGTGCGTTTCTATTCTATTCCGTGGTGATTCGTGTCTTGAAACGACAGGCTCTTTGGATTCACCCCTAGCCATGAAGTAAGCAAGCAAGGCCTTGCTCCCGGCACTGTTTACACCGTCTACACTGTTTACACCGTTTACACCATCTATATACACCGTTTACACCGTCTACACCGTTGAACCCCAGACCGGCGTATCCGGTGTAAACAGCGTAGCCAGCGTAAACTAAGATCAAAGGTGGGTGGATTCGGGTAGATACCCCATCATCAATCGCAATGAAGCAACAATGCCTGTGGACATCACTCCCTGAATAGACTTCAAGGTTTGAAAGAAATGGACCCAGGCCAGCAGAACCGCAGATGGGAGTGACTTCCTTGGTGAAGTGTGGGCCCTAGACATGTCAAGCTCACTGGTTGTTTCTTGTCACTTAGGGCAACTTAGGGTTGACAATGTTTGCTTGCGCTGCACAGGTGTGCAGACACGGCCGCTGATCCAGACAAGGAAGAGGTCACCCACCTTGAGCGGTGTTTATGTGGGCGCTTATCTTCGGTGATGGAGCCTTTAAGTCTGTTACACTTTGAGAAGGATGGTCGGGATGCGCGGTTGATGAACCTGTTGGGCACCCAGCGGCAGCTTTTCACCAAGCCATGCCAAGTGCACATCACTTCAAGACTTGTGCAAGACTTGCTGGAGATTGGATAGGATGATGGGTTTAGTACTAGTATATATATATATCGATAGACAGATAGATAGATACTGTAGGTGTTTCTGGGCAGGGACGGGGGTGCCATACTCGCGGCTATTGACAAGCATTGAATTTGTAGTGGCAATGCAAATGCCTCGCTTTCCCCAAGTCACAGCCTCACAGATATTGCCTAAGCAGGGATTTAGCTTGCAACTATAAGCTGGTAAGCAGCAAAAGCGGATGTATATACATCAAGATTGCCAAACTGTTGGGGCACCATGATGGTCGGCAGGTATTATTGGGCATCACGATTGCACTAGAGCAGTCTGTGGTCTTTGAGTATTTGCATAGTTTATCCGGGCGAGGGGGCATGTCATGTGCTCAATCATGGCTGCCTTTCGATGAAGTCAGCTTCAGGATAGCGCAAGCGTCTGAGAAGCATGTCCCATTGGTGCAGTGCTCGATCTTAAAGCTGGGGCCTTCAGGTTCATGTGAGAACCCTGCTTCTTTCGCGCCCTTCACGGTGTTTAGCTTTCTCACTACTTACGGTAGCTACATGAGACTTACGGTAGCTACATGAGCTGCTCCCTACTACCCCGGCTCCAACTCCCCCAAAACCAAACGACGAACATAGGAAAGAACGCTTGCCAAGTGATAAAGTGCTGCACCCTGGCTGAGGCCGGAGATGCTGGATTTCAAGGCCAGGAGTTCGGTGGGAGCAAGGCTTAGGAAAGAACACAAAGTCAACGCTTTGCAACACATTTTTTCAACCGTTCTTTTATCAGTCCTTGTCCGGCAATTGCTGCCTCTTCAAGTCCTTGCAGGAGGCTGCTAGATTCAGGCCGTCTGCATTGGCCTCAGCAAGTTCGCAGTGGGCCAGGAGGGTTATTAGTCATGGGAAGGGGAAGTGGCAAGGTTGGCACCTGGTTGAAACCGCGGCAGACGCTTGCAGCAATCCCACCTTCCAGCTCGGACCCACAGTGGTAGAGATTTGTGAGCGCCCTTATCTATGACATCGAGTGTGGCATTAGGCATTGACATATTCAGATATAGTGAAAAACACTCTGTTCAGTTCGGTGTGACATAAACATACATGATTCTTTCTGTTCCTAGCGCCAGTGCATTGACCTATGCTGTATATGAAGGTGAGCGTCCACGCTGCCAAAGTCCTTTACTTTCTTGGCAGCTTCCAAAACTACTTGCCTGCTTGCAATGTTATGCACGCTCCTGGCTTGCCACATTTGTCATGTGCTAGCCTTAGTCGTGCTGCCATGGACGTGTTGCAAAACGCCAAGGTCTCGCAGTCTTGTCCCTCCGAGAGCCCAAGGCCAAAGCTGATGAAATCGCACTGTTGTTAAACGACGGAGGGTGCAGTACAACTCATGCGATCAAAAGATTCACGACAACCAATGCCAGAAACAACTCCACACCTTCCTGATAAGAAGATGGCTCTGAGACTTTAAACCACATGGCTGATTTCCTTGTCCATGAAAGTATGGAATCCGCATGTGCTGTGCGATGGTGTTCCAGCCGGTCATCGAGCAGCATGGTGCATTGACCATTTAGGTTGCGCGGCCCAAGTCATGCAGAGGGAGCTGTCACAAGCACCGTGCCCATTGTGTATGCATACATGCATTACCTACATACGTTAGCTGTGGGTGTGACAGTGTGCCTACCGGCTTCGCAATGCATAAATACAATCACTTTACCTTAGCTCGAATGATCCCCGCCATGGCATTATGTTCTGCTGACCACCAACGGCTATAGGCCCAACATCATAAAGACAGTGTCTATCTTGCATTTTTTTCTATACTGGGATTCTATCTGGCATATATTCTGGAATTCTATCTGGCAAATACTAGCGGTATTCTATTTGGCATATATTCTAGGGTGGGTGCGTTTTTAGGGCGGGATTTTTTTCTTCAGATTTGCATTTGCTTTTACTGATTTTGGTATTTGTTGCTTTTTTCGAGTTTGCCTTGGCTTGCTTTTTTGTTTCAAGTTCGGCTCGTTTGTTTTTTGTTGCTTCGTTGCTTTTATGCTTTTATTGCATTTTGTTGTTGCTGTTGTTGTTTGGCCTACTGTGCTGCACTTGCTGCTGTTCGGTTTGCTGCATGGTGCACTACTGCGCAACTTCCGCGCACTCATATTTCATATGCGCATACCTATACATACAAACACACATTTCAGGAGCAGGAGGTAGGAACCATTCCCACATAGCAGCCCACTTGTGAGCCACCCGAGGGTAACATTTAGAGGAGGATGGGGCAATTCCAAGGTAGCAGACCTTTTGTGAGGCGAGGGTACGGTTTGGAGGAGATAGGAGCTATTCCAACATTAAATTTAGAGGAGGACTCGCCATTCCAAGGTAGCAGGCCTAAGGGCAAAACTTAGAGGCCGTTCCAAGGTAACAGACCTTTCGTGAGCCACTCGAGGGTAAAATTTAGAGGAAGAAGGTGCCATGTGGCAACATGCCTGTGGGCGCAAGTGAGTCGTAGCGTGGGCAAGTGCTTTGTGCTTGTGCAAGTGGTCAAACTTTTACGTGTGCAAGTGAGGTTTTGGACATGGCCTCTTCATAACTAAGTTGGCGGGGGCGCGCTGCCGACATCGCTTGCGCAAGTGAGAGGAGCTTTGCGTGCGCCAGCGAGATCCAGCGAGCCGTGAACCAACCCAAACAAAAACCACCAAAGTTGAGAGAAACAACAAAACAAGACCGCCGAGAGAGAAGCAGCCACACACACATAAGCATCCAAGCACGCGCCCTTCGCCAACCCCCCTCACACTTTGTTTTTTTAAAATATCGACCACGCTCCACTGCGCCGGCCACCAATGCGAAACCTGCACTACTTGCTTACTTCACCTTACTTCTACCAATGAACTTTGCTTGCTACGACAGCTGATTCTCTTAAGTGTCAGCCCTGCTGCCGAAATGGCGTCTTTTCAAGAATCAGCCACTCACTCCGGCTTGCGCCTGAAGTATTTCCTTTTTAAGGACATTAGGTTGCTGTAAATAGCCGCGGGAGATTTCAAAACACTTGAAAAAGCATACGACGGCATACGACAATTCCCGATTTAAAGGCGCCCAAAAATTATGGCATTCTATTTGGCCTAGTTTCTGGCATATTTTCTGACATATTTTTAAAGCATCTATTCTGACATTGTATCTGGCATATGTTCTGGGAATTTCATTACGAAAGCCAGCCGGCAGGCTGGGCTGAAGTTCTGTTTAGGCGAACGAAGTTTCAGGGCTTTGGGGGGGGCTGTAGCGCTATGATGGCCTTGGTGGTGCTAGCCTGTTTTTGCTGCATCATCATCATCATCATCATCATCATCATCATCATCTCATCATCTGAGCATGGCGGCATATTGTGTTATCAGTTGTGAATGATTGCGTTTTTTGGAATGCTCTGGGAAATTTGTCGATTCCAGTATGAAGAATTGATGTCATGATTTACGCTGTTTTCATTTTCTGTTCGTCGAGTTAGGCCATGCGTGAAAGGAAGGATAGTGTGATTTACAGAGATCTGCCCTTAAGCACATTTCTGGGTTGGTGCCCCTTTTTTGCGTTGTGTTTGAGGGCCGTTTTGGGGCAATAAAGGGCACCTTTGAGTAGCTGGGTGATGCCACGAAGGCTCCGTGTCGGGGCCGAAAAAGGATACTTGCGAAGAGCGGGTTGTAACGAGAAGCCCGTTCTTTCTCGTGGTTCAGGCCCGGTCGTGCCCACTGTGATCTGGAGCTCGCGATTCAGGTCCGGTGGTGCCCACTGCGATCTAAGACCCAGTGGTGCCCACTGACCCTGTCAGACAGCTCCCGAGAATCACGGATGGCAAGAATAAAGAAATGGCTCTTCCCAGTATAGCTTCAAGCTATGAGGATGCCTGATTATTTTTTCCTCTCTCTCTCTCTCTTCGTGTCCGTCCCTCTGTCTCTCGTGACTCTCTGCCTCTCTGTGTCTCTCTGTGTCTCTCTGTCTGTGTTTGTGTCTCTGTCTCTCTGCTGCTTTCCCTCACTGCACCGGGAGCCTGATGGCCGCAGAGGAAACGAACGGTAGGTACAGTGATCCTTTTTGGAAAAGGGAACGCCTTGAACCGAGCCTGAACGCGGTTCAAAAAGGGAGGCCATGTCTTATCAGTCTCCCGGCGTGACGGCAGCCTATCCCGAATGGTTGCGGTTGCGCATGGGCGTTGGCCACTTTGCCAAAGTCTCCAAACAAGCAGCTTAAACCACCCGCGTATGCAAGCATGCATGGTTACATGCCAGACCGCTGAAATCTATAAATGTTGGACGCACATCAAACCGCAAACTTCTTTGCTGGATAAAGCTGTATGTATACATATCTATAACCACAGATGCACATGTTGTACCCTCTGTATTTGTCAGACGTTGACTGATGGGATCAGCTGCTGGGATCAAGTTTGCAGCTGTTCGTAATTCGGAAGTTGCTGGCTAGAATTCCCGGTGTTTGAGTGCAGGGCACCAGCGGTCACCCAAGGCTTGTCATCAGAGGAGGCTCGCAACCGTGTTCTTGAAGAATTTCCTTTGAAGTTCCCTGGCTGAGTTTTATTTTTGGTCATGCTATATCGCAAAGAGCGTGTCGTGGCTTGAATATTGGAAGCAACTGGAAGGAGGAAACAATTTTAAGAGGATATGTTTGGGGCTGCTTGCCTCTAACAGTTAACAGCACTTTAGGGGCAATCTTCACTACCTACCTATAAAGGCCCCGACCAATCCAAAACCGCGCAAAGTCGCTCATTTTGATCTTGCGGACCTTTCCGCCAATGTGGGCCGTTTGATCAAACAAAACACCTCTGTCGAATAAACACGGACGGCTTTACTGTGTCTCGGATAGCTTGATGCACAACAGCATGTTCCATTTGGGGGCCAAAGAGCCAAAGTTGACCGATCCAATTCACTTGAGTGAGGTGGATTCCAGGCATGGAAGACCTGCTGTGCACGGCATAATACTTCGATGACATTTTGGCCATCTTGTGTGCCGGTAGGTTGGCTTCTAGATTCGACAATCAAGTCCGGCTATGTGCAGACATGCATACAGTATGAACCCAAAGAAACCTTGGAAACCTATCGCAAAACCAACCATTGTGGACCCTGATGAAGTTAACATGTCATTCGAGTAGCCTGCCAGGAACATTTAGCCCACGATTAAGTGTACATATATTTTCCGATACTTAGCACTGAGCACACAACGTGCAAAAATCCGATGTTACAGGGCGGACCCTGCAACTGGCAAGTTGCGAAGCGTAAGGTTTGGACATCCCTTTTGGAATCCGGATTTGCTATGTGCTGGCCCGTCCTCCGAAGATCGCAGCCTTGGCAGAATCAGTTTCCATTTTTAGGTGGTTTGCAAACCACTTGTGCTGTTCATCGCTTTTTCCAGCTTGTTGCAGAAGGTAGGTGGCAGTGTTTGACCAAGGAGCAAGATGGTGTGTACAGACTTGTGGCATGACCGTCGAGGCAGCACAGAAGCAAGCTGGAGCCTTGGACGATGGCATTGGCTCTTTTCACGCAGCTCATGTCAGCATATTAGACAACTCGCTGTGCAAGCTTTCTGGCCCTGTTCCAAGAATGAACAACTTGCATTTTTCTCAATGAGGTGATGGACGAATTTTGCAAACTCTTTGAGGATGCAGCCCAAGAAAGTTTGGCCAGATGGAAATCAGAAGTTGACTGTACCGACCTCAGCTTGCTGAAACAAAGGCAACTATATAGTGACACACAATATTACATCCATCCTTAAAATATACATGCGGCATGCGCATACAGACACACCTGCATATGGCTTGCACCCTCCTTGCACAAAACTGCAACTAGGCCCTGTGCACAGAACGATCAAAGTTTGACTTGCCTATGAAGCCTGCTGCTATGTCAGTCTTGACCAAATTGCCTTTAGAAGAAATGCAAAGAAGCTTCTAAGCACCGCACTCTTTGCAGAATCTCTGGGGCCTTTTTGCGACACATGTATACTGTAAACGAATTACTGTAGTTCCAATTCTCTTTGCATGGTTTTGTTCTCCAAATAGTGAGAGCTATTGGGGCTCTTACTTCAAGTAAAGGAAGAGGTGCTTGAGCACGCTTTGAAGCCTGGGTTGGTGCTGAAGCAGGGTGCCGGTGCTGCTGCATTGCAAGTGCGATTGCAAGATGTCTATACTGTATATGAATATGGCAATGTGCGCTTTTGGAGCCTGGATGCTGGTTCTGGCCGGTGCCGGTGGTGCTGCGAGATGTTTGCGTGCGCACTAGAAATTGGGTGTTGGTGGTGCTGCCCACAAACATCTTTTGCTGCCTGGGGTCCATGCTGGCGTAATTTGT